CTCTCTGTGGGAGCGGACTGGTCGAAGGGAGATATTTGGTAGGAGGCGGTCTTGCAAATACCTAGGTCCATTGCCATGGAGCACTTTAAAAGTTGTTACTAACACCTTGAAGCGCACCCGGAAGGCCACCGGCAGCCAGTGCAGCTCGCGCAGGAGAGGTGTTACATGGGAGCATCTAGAGGCCCCCAAAATCCCCCGCACGGCCGCATTCTGAACTAGCTGGAGCCTCCAGGTGCACCTCAAGGGGAGCCCCATGTAGAGAGCGTTGCAATAGTCCAGGCGGGAAACGAGGGCTTGAGTGACCGTGCGTAGGGCGTCCCGATCCAGAAAGGGGCGCAACTGGCGTATCAGGTGAGCCTGATGAAAAGTAGTCAACAATGTTTACTTATTAAATCAGCTTTCCAAGAAGGAAATAAGCTCATTTGAACATCAAGAGCGTACAACCACATTTAGTTCTCGTAAGCTGTTTTTCTTCTAATCCAACTCACATCCAGAAAGCTGAGTTGGAAGAATAAAGTCTGCGGCAAAAGAAAGTCGTGAGAAGAACTTGACGGGAGAAACAACGAGAGTGCTCTAGTAGTTCCTTTTTTCTTGCAAAATCAAATCCGTTCCAACACGCCAAACATATTTTGGAGCAACTTCTAAAGTCAACTAACACAGCTGGTCTGTGTCTGGCCATGACGAACTAATCAAATGGCCATGATGAACAAATTTCTGGAATTTATTACAGCGGTGGAATTAAAAAAAAAAAAAAAAGGAGAGGTTTTTATGGTCTCTTTTATTTCCCTGGAAGTCTGGAAGAACTGAAACCCGATTAGCTGGATATGTTAAAAGGAGAAGAAAAATGCTCTAGAACAAACGCACAGTTTAAAATGCTCCAACCTTATCAATCTCATAGGATTAAAATGCACATTGTATTTGATTTCACGAAATATTCTACGGGTCACAACAATGCATGAAATGATACAAAGTGGTTCTGGGTTTTAATGGGCGCGTTCTTTCTTTCTTTCTATGATTACATCTCCTTATAACCTCAAGCTTCTGTCTCCGGCCTCATGCGCAGCTTTTCCTGTAAAGTCTGATATTATCTGTATCTTTTTTTTTCCTGTTATGCTATAATTTGTCATCTTCAGAGAAAAACAAACTGCTCTTTCCTTTTTTGGGGGGGGGTCTTTCTTGTCTCAAAGGAATTGCTATATATCCCATATGTAATCATGTTAAGATGCTGTTTTTCCTGTTAGACACTGAAGGAGAGCAATGCAACAAACGGTTAGATGTAAACACCAATACATCTAATTTAGTTCTTCTTCTTTTTTAACCATTGGTTGCTCTTTCAAATAGGGTTTCCTGCCTGAGCAGGAGGTTGGACTAGATGACCTCCGAGGTCCCTTCCAACTTTATCATCATTATTATTATTATTAAGATACGGAAGCTGAAGCTCAAAGACTTTGGCCACCTAATGAGAAGTTGGACTAGATGACCTCCAAGGTCCCAGGGGGTTGGACTAGATGACCTCCAAGGTCCCAGGGGGTTGGACTAGATGACCTCCAAGGTCCCTTACAACTTTATCATCATCATCATCATCATCATCATCATCATCATCATCATCATTATTATTATTATTATTATTATTATTATTATTATTAGTGAGGATTCCTTGGCGAAGACCCTGATGTTGGGAAAGATGGAAGGCAAAAGGAGAAGGGGACGGCAGAGAATGGTTAAATAGTGTCATCGACACAATGAACATGAATTTGGGCAAACTCCAGGAGACAGGGAAGGACAGGGGGGCCTGGGATGCTGTGGTCCACGGGGTCATGAAGAGTTGGACACAACGTAGTGCAGGGGTAGGCAACCTTGGCTCTTTTATGACTTATGGACTTCAATTCCCAGAATTCCTGAGCTCAGGAATTCTGGGAGTTGAAGTCCACGAGTTATAAAAGAGCCAAGGTTGCCTAGCCCTGACTTAATGACTGAACAACAAAAAACAAGGCAATCCCTCCTTCCTTGGCCCCAAACCAACACCCATGAAATCTCTGGTGAAAAAGAAGTTTACGTTTGTCTTGTCTAAACCACCGCCATTGATCTTTCTCACGTATTCTAGTAATAGTATTCCTTACTTCAGCAGCCAAATAGTTGCCAGTTGCCAGGTGCTTAAATCTGAATAGGCTGTTCCACTGTCCTGCCCCACCGCGACAAGGATCGTGATGCACCACCTGCAGAGAAACACACATTGATATGTCAAAGGATATGTCCTAACATTGGAATTCTACTTGGTTCATCCACAAGGATGAGACAGAGAGAAAGAGAGAGTGGGGGAGAGAGCAAGGGAGGGAGAGAGAGGAAAAGAGAGGAAGAGAGAGAGGAAAAGAGAGGGAGAGAGAGGAAAAGAGAGGGAGAGAGGGAGGGAGAGAGAGAGAGGAAAAGAGGGGGGAGAGAGGAAAATAGAGTGACAGAGATGGAAGGAGAGAGAGGGAGGGGGGAGAGAGGAAAGGAGAGGGAGAGAGGGAGGGAGAGAAAGGAAAAGAGAGGGAGGGAGGGAGAGGGAAGGAGGGAGAGAGGAAGAGAGAGGGAGAGAGAAAAGGAGAGGGAGAGAGAGGAAAAGAGGGAGAGAGAGAGGGGAGGAAAAGGAAAAGGGGGAGAGAGGAGAAAGAGAGAGGGAAGGAGGGAGAGAGGAAAAGAGAGGGAGAGGGGAGAGAGAAAAGGAGAGGGAGAGAGAGGAAAAGGGAGAGAGAGAGGGAAAGAAAAAGGGGAGGAGATGGAGAGACGGAGGGAGAGGAAAAGAGGGGGAGAGAGGGAAGGAGGGAGAGAGGAAAGGAGGCAGAGGGATGGAGGGAGAGAGGAAAAGAGGGAGGGAGTAGAGGGAGGGAGAAGGTAGAGAGGGAAGGAGGAAGAGAGAAAAGGAGAGAGGAA